ACCAAAATGTGTTGTCACATTTTGTTATTGTATTTGGTTATTTTGTATGAATATTATACAAACGTATCTGTGTTTTGGTTGAAGAAGTTATTTTGAAGCTGCTCCTGTATATGCCACAAGGGGACAGCACCTCCCCTGCTGAGCGGGCTGTTTATTGTCTTTGCTGCGCTCTGCTTCAGTCTGGCAGAAGCGACAGAAGAGTGAACAACTACAGTCGACTCAGTGTGTTTTCTTTGTCTTTTACAGACATACTTTAAGCTGTAAGCAGGTTCCATCCCGTCCCTGTTACACGTGCAACTTGGCTTTTGCCCTCTTCAGCTCCACTGTCGTATTCAAACATGGTCACCTCCGTCTCCAGGTAACAAAAGGCTTTGACATGGCAACAAAATAATGAGTTCTATTACAGTGGGATCATCTATTCATTGAACAAATCTATGGTTGTGATGTAATGTTTTGTTATCACTTTCTTTAAGCAGCTAATGAATTAGCCACATGCTAAATAAGCATTTGCTAACCTCTGCTCCTCTCCAGCTCCTCCGCCAGCATTATACTGAACATCTCCTGCACAAAGTTGTTCTCATGTAGCGCTCCTCCTCAGCTCCACCCTCTCCTCAAGTCACCTGTGGCTCCAGGTAACAAACGCTCCAAAAGGCAACAAAAGCGAGGGTTATATCTCAGTGTTTACGTCAATTTTACAGTTCATGGTTGTGATATGTTTGTGATGTTATCACCTACTATAACTTAATATAGAAACTCATTCTGGAAACTAGCTCTTTTGAGCAGCTAATGAATTGATAAGAAGTAAGGACTTTTGGTCTGATAACTTGACATTTGCTAACTTCCTGCTTCTCTCAAGCTCCTCCTCCTCTCATCCAAATACTGTAAACTCTGGCTCTTAAAACCTTGAAAACATAGTCAGGGGATATTAATGTGATTTTGTGATTCTTTCAGGTTTGATGTTTTTTCACATGATGTTGTGTTAATGTGTAAATATGTAATGTTGTGTTATATTACGTCATGTGTTGTCTTGTTTTTTTTTGTGTTGTTGTTTGATTTTTTTCAGTTATTATGTTTCTATATTATATTGTGTTTATGTGTTATGTGGTGTTATTCATGTCATGTGTTGTCTTGTTTTGTTGTGCAGTGTTGTGTCTTGTTGTGTCTTTGTGTGTTACGTTGTGTTGTGATGTGTTGTCTCGTCATGTGATCTGATCTGATCTGATCTGATGATTAATAATGTCACATAATATCAGGTCATGTGATGTGAGCTACATTTTGTTTCATCAAAATTAACTTTTTGGTTCATTGAATGTCCCAGCGTCTCTTTGATTCATTCCCTCAGCGGACAGGTGGGATCTAAAAAAGTTGAGTTTGATTCCTACACAATGTTTGTTTTCAGCATGGAATCCTTTTTGATTCTTTTTTTTTTTTTTTTTTTCTTTAGGAACAGGAGCTGAAATCTAAAGAAGAGCCCTGAACAACAGAACAGAGGAGACAGGAAGCAGCACAGAGGACACAAACAGGATGAGGCTGAATGAACAGACCGACAACGAGAGAGAAGAAAAGATGAGAGACAAGTGTCAATGGTAACTTCATGAAAACAGCTCTGAATATATTCATAAGAAAACATGGCTCACTTTGAGGAACATTTCTCTGACATTAGATGAACTTCATTTTATTTGTGATGTATGTCCACTAAACCATTGTATTCTTTGTTTGTTTCAGCTGAGACCTCAAAGCAAACAGAGGACTCCATTTAAAGAGGAGACGGACGAGTTTGGAGGCAACAAGAGGTCGGCACACCATTTAGAATCAGCTGCAAAAACAGAGTTTGCAAATCAAATCTGAATAAATATAGAGATCCATGAATAATCTCTTTTGTCAACTGTTGGTATTTTCTCTTTATTTTGATGTAGGGGTCATTTATATATCCTTAATAATATCACCTTATTAAGGAAAAAACAGGTTTTCTCAAAAATGTTTAATATCCTGACTCTGAATTATTTAATTTGAAGTTTATGTTTTGCTGCTGTTATCATACCCAATATGATGCAATCCTGAAATCGATCTTACTCAACAGAGGAGTTGATCAAATTTCCAATTTCAACAAATGTACAGCAAATACATGTTTGACAAAATGTCTGTTTAAAGACATTTATATTTTCTTTTTGAGAAAGATCCACAGTGGAGAGTAATTGTGTCTGTCTTGTGTCAAACGATATCAAAACATGGAAGAAAGAAGAAATTCTTTCCACTGTTACAACCTGGCTCTTAGGCTGCAACAAAAACAGGAGTCAAAGATGAGCTCTACCAAAATAACACCAAGAGAGAGAGCGTCTGTCCTGAAGAGAGGACTATATAGATGAGGACTACACCGGGCCAAGGTGCAGCTCATCCCCTGATTACGACCCCGCCTTGACCTGAACCTGTAACAGAGAACAAACAAGCAGCACGGTGTGGAGGGCTCGTCACACCAGAGTCACACATTTATTTTGTCTTTCAGCACTGCTCCTTCAATTCAACATTTTGAATAATGACAATTAATTTGAACTATTGTAAAAATGTTCTCCATATAATGAGAAATCCCTGCACTTTAATTACCAGGGTGTTATACAAATGATGTTTGACTTGATGAAAGTTGACATTTCTCCAGGATAATGTTTCACAAACCGTTTCAAATCAAACTGAGACCTGAGAACTTTTCATAAAGCATATAACACACACTTAAAGACACAGGTCGTTTATAACATCCTTAAATCCATCTTAGGATCCAATACAATGAAACAAAGTGTTTTTAATGACAGGTTGAGAATAGTTGCTGCAAAAAAAAGGTCTATTTCATCTTCAGGAACTCTTTAACAACAAAGTCAAAGAAATGATTTCTCATGTATTAATCCTAGTTTCTTTCCAACACACACAAAGTGTGTTCAAAACAAATAAACTTCAGCTTTATGTTTGGAACATGATATTAGGAAAGTGCATGTAAGCAGTAGATTGAAACTATAGGACACAATAGGAAATAGACAATGGGAAAACATAACATGGTCGGCCTAAAGAAAGTTCAAATTATGAGATAAAAAGTCATGTTGGCTAAATGAGAAAGGCCAAAGTCAAAATAGTAGTGTGATTAAAAAAAAAGTAATTGAGATAGAAAAAGTCAGATTTACATCAAAATGTCACAAGTCATAATGTAAGACAACAACCATCATTCTGAAATGTAAAAAAAGTCCATCGCATGTCTATGACAGTGTCACAATATTAACTCACTATGGGGAAACATTTCCATCTTAAGCAGGGTCCTGTGTTTTGTGGACATATGCTGAATTTTCAAAAAGAAAAAGCTACAATAGTTCAAATGGAATAAAAAGGTCCTTGCACATCTTAAAAGTTTGCATATGAAGGCAGAACAGCAACAAGGCAGGACTAAGCCTTGCACACATGGGCAAGAAACTGTCAGGAAGTGGAAAACAAGGAACTGAACCCAATTGCAGATATGGAAGTAAAATATTTAATTAAACAAAAAGATAAAAATGTTGTTGATGTGATGTTTTGAGCCATGGTGACTGGTGGTCTTCTATATTCTGAAAAGTATCTTAAGAGATATAGGTATTATCTTTGCTATCATGAATTACATTAACTAAGAAATTATGACACATGACATATGAATACAAGGGGGTTTTGGCTACATATTAAACCCATCCTATGATTTCATTTTTGTAGGAAAATATGCAGCAAATAAGGCGTTGGAACTTGGATTAGAAGAGGACTAAAAGAGTTCACCGATTGGCTCACTTACAAACTCATCATATCACTCAAAGACAACAACAGAAAGTTAACCCTTAGAAGTGACTTGATGAGACAGCTAGATATGATTGTAATTTTTGTCTTTCAATCATCTACTTTTGGCATAAAATAATTTCTAACTATCTTTCAATAACTTTATATCTTGAGTTACACCTCCACTACATATATGTTATTTTTAAAATAAAGGAATGTGTCATAGTTAAACCTGGGCTACATTTAGCAATATCATCAAGCAGGCGTCCTAAAGAAACAGTATAGTGTTTTTTACCCAGCCATTCGTTCCACTATCGCAATCAGGTGATCTCTTAGCAGGTACTCAGTGCGATTCCCCTGAGTCTTCCGATGGTCTCCTTCTAGTCAACATTAACTTAAAAGTTTGTAAAATATAGTGTTTTGTTATTGGTGTGCAAAAAATGTATCTTCTATAGGACATCTATGAAACATTTAATGGGGCGCACAAACATGGTGTGAATAATGCTTTTAGATGGTTTATAAACCAATTATTAATCATTGATAAAATATTAATTGTCTATCTAAAAAAATATTTATAGATGCTTTACAAAGTATCAGTAAGGGATTATAATCTTCAGTTCCAACTGTATAATAACCATCCAAATAATGTTAACAGACGCTTTATAAAATATTTACAAACCATCAACAAATATCTGGTCCATGTATCTCTGTAATGTTTATAGATGTTTTATAAACCATCTCTTAAAGGTTTATAAATAATTTGGTCATCATTAACAAACACTTTATAAAGTGTATGAAATGTTATAATGTGTGCATCAATAAACTGTTAACATAACATAAATTATGGCATTACAAATCATTATCAAACATTATTAACTATCATTTCATTGTTTGTCAACAGTAAATAACTATTAACTAATGGTTAATTAACTATCTATTTACCCTTATTTACCCTTTATAGATGAAGTTCCCGCACACTGTCAAACTTACAAACTAACATTTATTAGTGATGTATCAGCACTAGACCTTTATCAGGCAACAAAAGGGACCTAAAATTATGAAAATAAAGACTCTGTGCAAGTGCAGGAAATCAGTTTGAACAGTTAAATTGAGAAAATAAAGAAATAAAGAGGAGGTTTTTGGTCAGTAAAAACTAGTTTATTTGAGTTGATTTCATTTGTTTTTATTTACAATATATTTCTCAAAAGATCTGACTTGTTGAACACTGTACAAAAATAACATTTAACATGTATACAGGATTGCATATAACGAACTGTGGGACTGATTAAGGAAATGAACGAATGGAAAATTGACATATATGTGAAAAAAACAGAAATGTAGCACATCACAAAATTCAATGCATTAGTGTTACAAATACCGTAACAAAACAAGATGGCTTGCTTTTCTTTGCCTGCATTGTTTGGATTATATAAAATGCTGAAAGTGAAGTTAAAATGATTTATCACATTATGAATCTGTGGGGCAGTTTGTACTTCTGCTATCTACACTAAAGTAACATCACAAAGTCACAGTCATAACACTTCTTGATTTAGATTTTAGATATGGCATCATAAAAATGCTCTAAATGTATATATAAATATAAAGATACTGCATATAGTGTATTGCTGGTATGTAGTTCTCGGAAAAGACATATTGCCATTTAATTCAGCGTTTGTTAAATATTCTCCATCTCAGAGTCGTCACCCGAACATCTCTCATCACATTTTAAATATATATATTGCTTTCTTATAGCAGTAACACATTTAAGAAATATTTTTATTTTTGAGAAATAATGGAAGTAACTGAAAAAGTAACACAGACATCAATACATGTTTGTACATCAAGAAGAATGACACATATATTAACAGTGTGCAGTCTGGTCCTTGTCGTATTTAGTGCAGTAGTGAGACGTTTGGTGAGGAGTCAGCGAGACATCATTCGCACGAACTCTGGGGAAGGAAAAGATACGTTCTTATACTTATAACAAAAGGAAAGTTATCAACCTTAATATCCATGCCGCCGCATAAACAGAAATCAATATATTTGTAAAATCTTTCTGTCATACCACTTAAAAGCAGTTTCTAGAGATCTTTTTCTTCAGTTTTAGTTTCTTTATTTTGAACAACCCACCTTCAAAGTCCACCTGTCCATCCCCGTTGAGATCCACGTCTCGCAGGATCTCGTCAATCTCTCTGTGGTTGAGCTGCTCCCCCATTAGCTTCTTCATGGCTTCCCTCAGCTCTCCGAGACTGATCTGACCGTCACCATCAGAGTCAAACTGAGGAATCAAAAGGTGTGGTAGAGAAAAAAAAAGAAAATCTATTTAATATATATGAAATATCTGGCATGATATTTAACAAAGACATGCATTAATGGTGAGTTCTGAAGTGGTTAATCCTTTCAGACAAAATGCGCTTCTATTTTGTTGAAAATTATTAGATTGTATTGCAGACCTCCTTGAATGCATCCCTTAGCTCCTTAACTCCAATCATATCTGCAGTTTCAGCAAGCATCTTAGGACCCATCAGTTCCACAAAGTCCTCAAAGTCCACTCTGCCGCCACCTGGGGGGGGGGGGGGGGGGATGTAAGAACACAATTGTTACCTCATCTTTCATTGTCATTATACTTCATTAATCCCTGAGTGGATATTTGGGTTACACCCTGTCATTGGAAGCTACTTTAATACACACATGCACAAACAGGACCTATGGACATGCATTAATGAACACAAAGTTCAGTGCTTTGGTTAATGGCAGCTCAGCAGTACTCAAGAAGAAAGCTCCTACAGCAATCAAACCAATTTCTATACTTTGGTCGATACCCAGACTTGAACTGATGACCCTTCTGGTCTCTTCAGACTGAGCCACTGCTTCCCTTTTCCTTGACTGATTGTTAACTCATGTTGTGTCTTTAGAAGCACTCACAGATCTGCTGGCTGAGTTCAATCAGTTCCATCTCTGTGGGCATGTATCCCATAGTCCTCATGCACTCGCCCAAGTCTTTACAGCTGATGAAGCCATCCTTGTCTTTGTCGAACTCCCTGAATGCCTCACGGAGCTCTGTGAAAAAAAGAAAAACAAAACAACAACAGGGAATTGGTGAATTCCTCAGAAGAGTCTTATGTATCCTCCTCCCTCTGATGAAATGTTGAAAAATGAGACAGTCCAGCGGTTTTTGTATCTTTGACTATTTCAATCCATCCTTTTGTTGGTACTGTAGTGAAATTTCTGGTATGTATTTTCTAATGCTACCACTGGGTGGTGCCACAGAAAAAGAAATAAATACATTTCTGCTGAGGTTAGCATTAACTTAAGAAGCAGTTTGGTACTGTGAGGACATTATGTTACATTTTGGTAAAGACGTTGGAAATGTTAATCTGTAAGATGCTGGACTTTTAATGCTCTCTCTCTGTGAGACTGATTACTATTATATGCACATTTTTTCCAGCCTCTGTTGGCAAATTCTGTTAATTTTATTTTTTACTCAGGTACCACTGTCTTACATTCCAATTTTTAGCAATATTTTTTTAAATTTCTAACTGCTTTATTTTAAATGTAATCAATCACTAGTTTCTTATTGGTCACTGGATCAATTAGCACTAGTTACTAGTTGCTTATTGATTTCATTTCATTTCATTTCATTTATTTTTATTTCGAACATGTTTTAAAAATAAAATAAAAATATACATTACACACAAAGCAAACAGCAATGAAAGCATATTTATTTATTTGTAATAATAATTATAATAATAATATTATTATAATTATTATTATTATTATTATTATAAGTTATGGTCAACTGTGTCAAATGCTTTTTGAAGATCCAGGAAAACACCTACGGCATAATCTTTATTTTCGACGGCTGTTGTAATCTCTTCTACAAATTCTATGAGTGCCATTGAGGTGGTCCTATTGTTTTTAAATCCATATTGTTGATCATACAGTATATTGTGTTTAGTAATAAGATCATGTAGTCTTACAAGGTATAGTTTTTCTAGTATTTTAGAGAATTGTGGGAGTAAATTGATCAGTTACAGTATAAGTCACTGATAAGAAAAGTTTATGTTGATTTTAGTTAGTCAATTCTTAAAGAAAGGGCTGCAAACTGTCTGCACATAAATATATTTAACTAAGAACACAGACAGTTTCAGACTTATATAATAATATAAATCCGACCTGACACATTACATGAAGGGGGACATCTATTTCAAACCCTGATAACAGGAGAAACTGTCGTACCTAAGACAAATGTTTTAAATGGAGCCACTTTATGGTGTCTTATACATTTTCTCATCTGATGAGATTTGAGAAGGCTAGGTTGTTAATGTTTAAAATATGAGTGTCATGCGTTGGAGAGATAATGCCTGACCGATGTCTGCCTGCACTCTTAATTTCAATTTGAGCTAGAGGATTGAGACTACATTAATTACTAAAAGTGTAACCCACCTGAAACTCAAACTGTGCTGGCAGTCAGTTTTAAAATATGGGTAATGTCGGCGCAGACAAGGAGGGATGCGAGTAAAACAAAACTAATTTGCTTGTTTTTTTATGCATCTTTTTAAAACCATCTTGTGTTCAAAGAGCAATGGTGACATTTCTAAAGACTGTATTATTGGCTGACAGGTGCCATATATTAAAATGGCACCATGTTGGTTTTCATCATGAAATGTAATTTACTCTTTTTTCTTTTATGGGGCTGTTTAATAGGCTGGGATTCTCCTTGTGTTTGGATGAATGCCCCAAAATGTAGCTGTTTTATTACGAGATTTGTTGATCATATAGCCAGACGGTGCATCACTTTTAATTTTGTTGTTTACCAAAACGCCTAGCAAAAAACACAGTAAAATCAATTTTGTTTCACCAATTGTATTGTGTTATAACCCCTAAAACACAAACACACAAACACGTTTTGTGATTATCTACAACATCCTGTACGAATCCTGTGAAAGTGTTAAACCGACCTGAGGAATATAGTTGAATAACAATCCTTCCCTTTGATCCACAGTACATGTTAAAAAAAACAAATATAATACTGCTGGTTCCTACAGCTGAGATTCAGTCAGAGGGCACAGTCGAGGAGCAGTTTGATTGTTTTACTCTTTATGGTGAAGCACATTATTTCACAGTCAAACAGAAGGTTTGGGGATTGAAAGGAGGGCGGTTTCAGGAAAAGACAGGATTGAGGGGACAACGGATGAATGCACTATTTGGATTAATCTTTTTTTTTTTATATCTCTGTACCTTCCATCTCCTCTGGTCGAAGATCTCTGTCCTGTGTTGGTGCAGATAGAAAAACAGTAAAGAGGGAAGGTTATAAAAACACTGTCAGTCATCATTAACCAGAAGAAAACATTTTGGAGTTGTAGTTTCTTGTGGTCTTTTTCGCTGCTGTGAATCCTTTTTTTTTTTAAATTAAATGTTCATCAGCCCGAGCAGAGATTCTATTACAAGATGATTTTGTTTTTGATCCGACTGACCCTAATGACCTTTTAGTCCACAATCTCATGCCCAATCTCATTTTGTTCCTGCTAAAGAAGGAGCTATGAAAGTCTAAGGGGCATATGCTCCTCAACAAGCATTCAAATGTGTAAGACAAACCCACAGATACACAAAAACAAATCAAGCAGAAAGCCTCTGGTCTCTTTCTCCCCTCCAAACATACTGAGATAAGGCGCACACATCTGCAAGCACACACACATGCAACAAAGCTTTTTTGTATGATGGGGGCTCAAAGAAAGACTGCCCATCTTAACATACGTTGATAGAAATTACAATTCAATTGAAGATAAATGTCACTTTGAGGTATGTGAAAATAGTTAAACACTTTTTTAGTTTTTGATGAGATGGCTTGAGCATGCTGCTGCATGAACAAAAGGTGATGTCAGGATGTGTCCTGCAAGGCTGTGACATCAGCACAAGGAATAATACAGGCCAGGATTAGAGGATGTAGGAGAGAGAGAACAGTGGCAGGGAGATTACAGCTGTAAATTGTATTACAAATCACGAAGGCTTATCGGTTTTTCATTTTCCAATCTGCCACTGATTTTTTTTCATAAATCTTGATCTGCATCGTCATTTGCATCTGCACTGCGGCTCAACTGTCACTTGGTTAACAAACACTAACACACTTGCATGATACTCAGCATGCAGCAAAAAAACATGTTCCACTTCTGCTGGTGGTCTTTTTTTCATGTGCACAAATGAGTGACTGTCTGGTAAATCTGACTTTCTGCACATCAACAACGAAAAAAGGTTGTGAAAAGGCTACTACTCTCACACTGTCCATGAAAAGACTAATGTGAGACTAATCTCTGCGTCCTCTGTCTAGGAATTCATTCGTTCTCATCAACAACTTGAAGTATTAGCAGGAAGATGTCCGACAAGTTTAGGATTTTGGTGACTCAGAAAGGTTGCTGCTGTTTATTGCACTGATGTAAGACAGATCTGACTATCAAAACTGATCATTATGTAATGTTGGCAGTGCGTCAAGGTTCTCTCTTGAGATTTGTGAGTGGCTTTAAGGCACTAGTTCACACACCAGCTTTCAGCTTCAAAGAAGCCAGTTCGCCCGTGTCTGTGCTGTTTAATAGTATGACCAAAGGTAAGACAAAGTGACACGAAAAAGAGAGACTGACAGAGCAAGAATCAAGACTACAGTAAATATTGATGTGAAACGACATATCCATATCCCCGACTAAAAAGTACTACCAGAACAAAATAATTTCAATGAACAATCATCCTCCCTCATGTAATAATCCCAGTGCAAAATCACTTTAAATCACCAATACTTTACATTTGCACTGTAAGGAAACGTGAAGCATTTGTTGATTCTCTATATGAAAACCTTTATTAAAGATTTTAGAGGAAGTTTTTCTCCGTCGATGACATGATGCCCCCTGGACTTCACAGAGCCGCATGGTAGCACATCTCGATGGGTATCAGTATTCAATAGTAAACCTTCTTTGCAACCCTCTACTCATCAACAAATGCACATAGTCTATGAGAGGGAGGCGTAGCGGCGCTGTTTACAACAGTGTAGTTGCGCTAAGAGACCTTCAGTGGGGGCCAAAGTTTACGCAACCAAATTCCCAAAGTGTTGCTTTAAATAGTGTTTGATAAGCAACAGATTTGAGCTGATGACGACTTTTGCCATCATTTTAAGCAAATTTTAATTTCAGCATCAAAACATAATATACAGTCACTTCTAATCTGAAGGTTCAAAATAATGTAAGCAATTTTCTGACCTGTATGTACGACCAGTATTCAACCGCTTTCTAGCTCCGTTCTGTGTCCACTAAATCCTGATAGCTCATAGCTGCTGAATGTAAAACTACTTTTTCTAAGCAGATACTTCCTTTGTTCCTCTGCACTTGATAATTAGTCAGGTAGTGTTGAGTCTGTTGAAAGATTTTTTTGTTGCTGAAAGCAGATACCGACTAGCTTGATCAGTGAACTGAAACACCAACGCTGCTGGTTATAACTTCAAATGAAAGTCTTAAAATAAGGTTCAAATGATCTGTTGAACCAAAAGGAAGGCATTTAAAAGAGTTACTGAAGTGATTTTTTTTGCCATTGTTCTCTTTTTTTAAAGGCCTGTGTTAGCTGATTGAAAGGGCTCTAAACCTGAAAAGGATATACTGTCATTTTTTATAGCCAACACTGTTAGAAGACAGGATGGTATCCAGCTATTAAAGGGCAACAGGAATCATGTGTCATGTTTCTAGCCACCTGTGGAATGCACATTTCTATACAATTATTTTCTCTCCTTTCACCTTCTGATTTTGTTTTCCACCAACCCCTGGGAACATGTGTCTGTTAAATGTCATTGTGTTTGGTGGCTGTTTCCTTTAGAGTGATTTTGCTATGGCAGCCATCATCATTTGGGACTGAGATCAGTGACTTCACTACTGTCCTAATGGCTCTTTTCAATTAGCGCAGCTAGCTGCACAGTCACGGGATGACTATAATTGATCTCTGCCATATTCCTCATCTGTATTTTGGCCATTAAGCTGGGAAAAAAATCCTTGCACGACTTCTTCAACAAATGAACAGAAGGGATTTATGATCTAATTACAATCAAGACAAAATGAGAGGTCATTAACTCAGTCATTATTGTGTAGCCTTTTACCAAACCAATGATTCTCTTTTTGAAGCTCACAGTGTAGAGAGCATTTCTTTCTGTCCTTCTTTGTTCTTATTTTATTTTCTTTCCGTCTTTCTTTAATGGAATCTTTTGCTTGAGTGTTTGTTAAAGATTTGACAAATTTACGTACAGAAACTACGGGTACTTCCAATGAATTACATTACCAAATATGGTACATTTGGTTTATAGGATTGATGGTCCAGGGTTAAATTCTTACTGAAGCAGATTGGATTGGAAAGCTGAGATGATGATGATGTAGGCTGATGGATGGCCTTAGCTTTAGCTTCCCTTGGACAGTGTGGAAAATGGATGAAGAGATTTGTTGGATATTTTGGCTATAATTCTGTACTGTGTGTGTGTGTGTGTGTGTGTGTGTGTGTGTGTGTGTGTGTGTGTGTGTGTGTGTGTGTGTGTGTGTGTGTGTGTGCGTGCGTGCATGTTTGTTTGTGTGTGTGTGTGTGTGTGAGTGTGTGTGTGTAATGTCATACATACAAGTTGGCTCTGAGCGAAGCTCTGTCTGAGGAAGATACAAGCGGGCCCCACTAAGTTGTGCAGCATGTTGCAGTTCTTAACCAGAGCACACAGAGGCTCCTCAAACTCTTGCTCGCTCCCTCCTTCCTCCTCTTCATCCGTGTCTGCTTCACCTGCACCTTCCAGGCCCCCCAGGGTGGTGGCAGCCATTGGGGTGCTACCTCGTTCTACTTGCGACTCTCCCTTTAAGGAGGGGAACCAACTGGATTAGAACCGAGATCAAACTGCCACTTACTGACTCATTTTTGTAATCATTTGTCCTCATTCACGAGTCAAATCACAAAATACATTTGTCCTGTACATAAGAACATTAATCCATTGAAGGTCTTTTGTGCCTGATAGGTGATAACCTGTAAGGTTTAAATGTGGCTTTGAAATATTTAAAGCAGTTGCTACACATAAGTGAAGGCTTTGATATCCAAAAAGCATTATCCTAAATATCTTTATCATTTAAATCTATTTATCACTCATCAGAAAACAGTTAAATAAGTCCTTACCTTCTTTTTACTGTTCTTTTTAGAAGCCTTGTTGATGTTTCCCATCACCCTGCCCAAGTCTCCCTGTATGCCCCCTCCCTATCCTCCTTAGTTTCCCCCCTGTTCCTCCCTATTTCTCAGTCTTTTTCTTTTTATCTCCCTCTTTGCTCCGTCACATTAAAATCCACTACATCCAGAGCAGTCCATGGGTTCAGTGTCTTTCACACACTGTGAGACGACAGCAAATGTTGTCACCTGCACCTCTTCTACTGCGTGCAAATGAGGATTGGTCCCAATTCATGTGTCTCCAAGTGGATCCAAGATGCTATTTGGTCCAGAGTGAGACCAGGTAGGCATATGTTGTATTAAATCCTAAAACTCCAGTAGGATATTGAGCGCTGTCATGATGAGCTTTGAGCAGAAGAGTGCTGGAGTGAGACGGGGTGGGGTGGGAAAGCCGGGTCATATCTGGACTGAAACAACCTGCTGCGGCCAGTCTCTGGCTCTGATTGCATGACTCGACCATTTTCTCTATCTCTCCCTGCCTCTCACACACAAACACAAGCTTTTTTTTTTTTTTTTTGCGTTTATCTGTCAACCCCTCTTGCCATGAGTGATCCTTTGAATTTGGACCAACTTAATCTAATCCATCCATCCCACCCACCTTCCTCTCTCTCTGCCGCGCAAACATCGGGCTTACAGTCTCAAAATGACTAGTCTGGCAACTCGTGTGTTTATTTGTGCAAGTGTGTGTGTAAAAGGGAGCGAGTAAAAGGGGGGATGGTAGAGTTATGGATGGAGAATTGGCTGCCTGTTTAATCCCCAACATTTCAGATTAGAGGGGAAGAGTTATGCTGACAGGCTTGGGGACTACAGGATTGAAGAGGGAGGTCTTTTTAAAATAGAACTAATGGGAGCTGATAGAAGTTTAAATTGAGGGAACTGCATAGCCATACATGGGAATACAAGGAATACATGAGCTAATACATTTTTATTGAGATCATAAAATCTACACAACAGTTACCTAATGACACTTTTCATTCAGAGAGAATCTGAATTGTACTCATTGTAATACCCAACTAAATCCACCATGAATAAGCACAATGGGGCAGCTACAAGAAAAACCTCCATTTTCTTTCTGAAACCTTGAGCAGAATGTGACTAATAGGAGGATGGCCATTTGCCTAGACCTGATACATGGGTTTCATCAGAATTTTAAAAATGTCAAATTTTCAGAAAACCCTGGAACTCCATTATGCAATCACTGTGCAAGGGTTACTTGTTAATTTCTTTACTGCTTTTCCACCAGGTCCCCATGTTTGCCATCCTTCCTTTACCCTTTGTCTGTAGTTGAATTCAATCAACATTGCTCCTTACATCCTAAAGCTGTAATGAAAGAATGACATCTCAAATATGGAGAAGTTTTGATAGCCATCACTGAAAACCCGAAATTATAATCCTTTGCTTTTACTATTGGGGAACTAACAACATTTGTTTACATCTTAATGACTATTATTCTTTAGCACTATCGTCTGCTTTTCAGTACACATAACATCACGGGGGGCGGCAGTAGCTCAGTCCGGAAGTAGCTGGAGAGGTGCCAGTCCACTTCTTGAGCACTGCTGAGGTGCCCATGAGAAAGGCAGTGAACCCCAAAACTGCTCTGGAGCGCTCGCTGTTTGCAGCCCCCTCACTCTTAGACCTCTCCATTAATGCATGTCCATAGGATCCTGTTTGTGCATGTGTGTATTTCGGCATATGTGTGTGTTCATGTTAATTAAACAGAGTGTAAAAATTGAATTTCCCCTCGCGGGATTAATAAAGGATAAATTATTATTATTATCACATTGCTTCTCTTACTCTATCTTTCCTTCTGCTTTCATAAATGCTAAATGCAACTACAGTGAACATCCCTGTATGTTTTATTGAACCTTTACAGGAATATTGGTTTACACATGCAAAGCTTTTTTTGCTTTTTTGTCAGCTGCAGAGAGCAGCACAGTTAAGCTTGCCGCTGGTGCGAAAAGGAACTTGTTCTCCGCTGTAATACTTTTGTACCACCACTAGATGTCAGCATCAGGCCTTTTGGATGTCGAAGGCACAAGTCCAGCTTTTCAGTTATAGGAGGATTTGCGTGTGTTTTTGAACAGCGCACAAAGCATGTAGAGAGAGATACAGGTGGAGTAGTGAAAGCTATCTTGTGACATTGTCATGATTGCTGTATCTCCACCAGCTCCACAGACATAATTCTACACATAATTATGAGACTGATTTATTCTATTTGATTAAAAAAGACATAACTGAGAATCTATTAAGAGAAGGGTTGCTGAGGTGACTTGAAACAAAGGATTTGTGTCCATGGTGTCTCGGTTATATAACAGTATGTGTCTTAGCCCACTGATCCAGCTGGACATCAACCAGATTAGCAAATAGAAGCCTCAGTCTTGTAATGAGCTTTTTCCTGCTTTTTTTTTTTTTTTTTTTTTTTTTACAAATTATATATTTCACAACCATGCACAAAATGCTTCAGCTTCCTTTCATCTTGGAACTGCAATGATGACTGCAAAAGTAGACACATCCCACAGAGAGGAAAACGGACAGAGTTTTGTCCCTCTCTCTTTAAAAAAAAAAAGGAATTACTGAAATCCTGCTTCAATCAAAAACCTGGTGTGATTACAAGGCTTTTCACCATAATTCCCGGTGAAACAGAGCACTTGGGTGAGAATAATGATCTATCTGTCAACAACATCAAGCCTACCAGATGCCCCAAAACACGAGGATAGAGGACAGAATACCGCCCCGGTAGCGATGGACCTATTCCAAGAGTCAGGATTTTGCATGCCATGCTATGCTAACAGCTGTGACGTAGGTAAAGCATTTTGGTCCAGACGGAGGGGGGGAAGGGGGGTGGGCGGCAGGGGCGGTCCATGTGTATTTGGTTGCTTACACATGCCTGCACTTTCGCATACAAACAGAAATGTATTACAAATGCTTGAAATGACGTCATTTCATTTCAAACGGGGTCACCGAGAAAATTAAATGCAGATATTTCTACAAGCAACCACATCTAAAAACGAGGCCAGTTGTATCAATACGTTGTGAATGTTGACTATTTACAGCCTGCATAACATTGTCACCAAGCCTTTCAAATGTGTTTTTATCATAATCCCAATATATGAATACATGTAGAAATCCTCTTATATGTAACGTAAGGCTATTTGATGTCAGGGCTTAAGCATTCCTTTAGTCTTTGTCATTTTACCCAGTACACTTAAAGCACACCTTTTGACCTGAGAGGTGACATAATCACTCCATGAAATTAATTTAAAAGGGGCGCTGATGGCCTAGTGGGAAGGTCACACCCCGTGTACGGAGGCTATAGGTCCTTCAAGCAGGTGGCCCGGAAAAATCTGCATTTCCATTAGAGCAGTTTAAATGTATTTAGAAATAAAGGTCTGTTACAGATGGCGGCTTTCACTCTAACTTGACATGATTTTACAAACTGCAACCACACAAAGCTGTCTGGATTGGCCCACATACCTTGATCTCATTCTCTCCAAATGACCCCTTACAAAGTGGATAATGCCTGTTGCACCTGTCCAGAATTTTGTTTACTATTCTTCATGTGACCTAAGAGTTTATTTTTATATTTTTTGATGAGGTCTGAAAGAGACTCTTTGTAAAAACATCACAGGATCTTTATCTTCATCCCTAATATAGGACACAACTGTTGCTACTAAGAGTGTTAGAGTAGTAATGCACCATCAACTAACCTACTTTTAAATCTGTCTACTAAAGCTGCTTTGTATCCACAGAATATGAATACTGTCATTTAGCTGTAGGAAGTGTAACCTGATATGATGATGTAATGATACAACAACGTCTGAACAAAAGGAGTCAACTGCCAAAATACAAGTTTAACCTCCTTTATAAACTTTATTCTTTTAAAAATGATTTTGTGTAAATTAGATCTCTTTGACAAACTTCTGGTCATCATAAACACCATGTGCATGGAAAAAAACACAATTCAAATCCAATACTTTGAACACTTCATAGGCAGTTAACGGTTACTTTTCTGGTTTATAACATAATTTGGCAATATTTTCACATTCATGCCCATAAAGTTTACTGAATTGAATTGAACTCAACTGATTTGATTTGAATTGCTGAACTACACTTTTCATGTACAGTGCTAGAATAATAGTTTTAAAAGTTCCCCTGGCACATTTTTTGTGCTGGTGTGAAACACAAAAAATGACTAGGTTTCAGAATAAAATAACAATTTTTAACTTATTTTTAATTTAACATGCGTTTAATAAAGTGAACACTTTTTTCAAGTAACCAGGATTAGTGCTTCTTTGTCAATAATGAAATCCCTCTGCTCTTGTTAAATTATTATTTCTCCAACAGAGGGCTTCAGAGATACCATAAGCTGTAGCTAAAGATGCTCTTCACTTGCTTGGGCAGGCAGTCATGTGGCACTCAGCCTAAACTCATCAGGAAGTAGACAGCCAATATATTTGACAAGTACAGATTACAGAAACTGTTTCATACAATACAAAGACATTCCAATATGACGATTATACAAACTTGGCTGCTAAACGATTAGAAAGAGAAAATAAGATTGAACTACTATTGTGTACTATTGTGAGCTAAAAGTTGTCATGTCTGGCATTGGAAATACAGCTAATTCAAGGTGCAGTCAAA